AATGGCCACAAAAATTTTGACAAGCATGGAGGAAATACTTGTTGTTGTACGTAGAAAAAGATAAATAAAAGCTCCTCCGTTCATGTAATCGGACAAATATGTCGGCCGCCGCTCGCTGGTCAAACAAAGTGAAACTCCATCCCGGAGAGGAAACACACACAGAGAGCGGCGCCACGAGAAAAATGTAACCTCATTTATTTGAATGCGTACAAACACACATTCCTGCTATATTACCTTGTAACCCGAACAGCATGCTTGTGCTGTTTACCCTGTGAGCCTCGCAGTTTTTTTCCAGAGGTGTAAAGTCCTGTCTCTCAGGATTATGCTCCGCCGTGCAGCTTGTTGGCATCAGATAAACGTTCCGGCTCGTGGATCAGTTACTCAAACTGGACTTCCAGGACCGTATTTTGTTCTGGTAGCTGAAACGACACCCCTCCAACAATGTTGTCTCTGGGCCGCTATCTCAGACCGACGCTCGGCTGAAGACGAAATGGAAATAAGATCGGCTTTGTCTTGTTGTTTTCCAAACAGTAATAAGTCGCAGCTTCTCAGAGAGCAGAAGAGTCGGTTTTATTGAACATCAGCGGCACCGGAGCCTGTTGGACTTTTACAAACGGAGACGGAAAAGATTCACATTAATCTCAATACAGTTCATTTGAGCGTTTGATTTAGAGGCATTTCACACCGTATCCTTTCTTTTTTGATCGCTCGTTATTTCCTGCAGTTTCCCCAGACTTAAACACGGCGAGATTTCTTTTCTTGTTTACACAGAAATCTTCCATCCCAGGTCTCTGCTGGAGCATTAGGGGTACCAGCTTTCAGCATTCTGGTGGGCCCAGCGGCCCCACAGCGACAAGCCCCTATGCTCTTTATTTGGCACGTAGCCTGGAGGTGTCAGAAATATCGACACGCTTTCACGTGACGGAGACTTTGCCAGCCGTTTTCCCCCCTTTCTTAAGCCCGGCATTCTGTCTGCCCAGCCAGGTATTGTAGGGCCCCGTGAAGGCCCTGTGAATAGTGTCAAACTTGATAGTTCTCATTTCGCTTCCTGTACATGGCAGAAGAAAAAGTGCCCACCGTGTGGGTTTTCCTTTTGTGATGGCCCTCTCTAGTCTTCCTGGGAACACACCACATTCCAGCCACAATCATTCCCTTTGTGAATCTGGGGATTGTGGGTGAGCCTGTTATGCCGATAACCCTCCTAGCTTCCAGTGTAATGCATGCGAGTATCATAGAAGTCTAGACTCGTATTTTTTTGCAAACAATGCCAAATAATGAGCGGAGTGTTTTCAGTGATTTGGCAGAGCCTTTGTTTTGACACATCCTCCCTCATTCATGAAGGACCTTTTGTGTTCATCCACGCCTAAGATGTGATTTAAGGTCTGCTACATCTGGACAAATTATCGCACCGACGTACCATACGTGGGCCTCATGTGTCAGTTATGGTTTATGTAACGTACATACGCGTAACCGTAGTCTGGCCTGCTAATCCCGGGGGTATAATTTCTAATGCGTCTCAGGGAGGGATTTTCATGCGTCTGTCCCCCAGAACAGAGCCGACCGCAGAACGCTAAACGCTTCTGACTGCAAATTTGATTTACCTCAACTCAAAGGTACTTTTTTTTTTTTTTCAGATATTTTCTTCCGTCCTCAATCCAAAAGTGTTACAGTCCATGTGCGCAAAGTATTTTAATGGTTCTTGTCTTTGCTCCAAAACTCCCAGGAAGTTTTTCTTACCTCCCCACAGATCTTTTGAACGTCGTCCATTCAAAATAAAAATTTATATCTTGCAGAACACGAGGTTTTCAAACATTTTTGATTGCTTTCTGCGGCTCCAAGATGAAAAAAAAAGAAGAGAAAAGCCTGGCATCTCATTTTGTTGCTGTTTAACACTGTCTTGTGTGTTATTGTGTCATGAACCATTACCCCCTCTGGGTGAAGAGAACATGTTTTCCTCCTCTTTGTGACAAGAAGGAATTGTTAAGGTTAAGTAGATAGGGCAGCCGGAAATAATTACCAAGCACTTGTGAAGTTTTTTTTCCCCCTTTTGTTCGTCTTTTCCCTTTCATTTTAACAATCTTTTCAATGTGCAGATCTTGTTTATGATTAAATTCAGTCTGGTCTTGCCTCTTAGCCTGGCAAAAAAAGGAGTCTCGCTGAAACAAGCAGCAGTTTAGCAGTTGGACCTGTAATTTACTAGGCTTAAATGCCATTGGACGCTCCTTTGCCAAAGGAAAGACGGGCTTTTGTGTGGGGTTCATGCAAAATGACCCCCTTTCTACAAATCAACTGGCAGATGACAGACAATGATGAAAATTTGAATCTTTGAAGTTGTAATGGCCATTGAAATGTGTAAAATTCTTGCATTGAAAGGAGAGCCGCTGTGGAAAGCCCTCGCTCTTGGGTGGCTGCTGCCGGCGTGCTGGGAGGTTTGTCTGTGTTTTGTCGCCGACTTCCCATTGCTTGTTTGCTAATTCCCTGAAGAATTGGACCAGATCCTTGATAGGAGCTTGAAGGGGCTCCGGTTGCTCAGGAATATGCATTTAGTATGCCCACAGGCCACTCCTCCTCCGATTGTCGCGCTGGCCTACTTTCTGACCGACTGGAATAAATCGTCTCAAGTATTAGGCGTTAATTTCATCAACCTAAATGCGAAGGAGAAGGAGCTGCAGCGTTGAGACGGCTGTTAAATTTCCCTTTTTTTTCTCTTTGCTGTTACTCGTCTTCTGTTGTGTTTACCCACCTTCACTGAGCCTGACACGGATAAACAGAAAGCTAGCTCACCGCTAACTCAGCTAACTGTGTGTCCAGCAGGCAGCTCATGTCAACGAGTGTGTCTGAATGATTTTTTAAATTTCGTGTAAATCACAAAATATCCAAATTGCTGAAGCTGCAGTTTTTTTTTTTGATTAAAGGTTAAAATTATCACAAAATACTATAATAAATGAAGCCCTGTGATGCTACAGTGATGCCTACACATCATTCTGCAGACACGTGGGGAGCTTCTGTCACCAAAAATATAATAATTGTCAGATTTTTTTAAAGTGGAAAACAAATTCCACTTCCACTAAAATCATGACTCATAGAGATTAGTGCAACAGTGGTACTTCCAGGTTAATATGATGGAGTGAGACGGTGGATTATCGGCAATACGATCACATAAATAGAATAAAATATGAAGCCAATCTAAAAAAAATCCCTAAATACTAAATTGAAGCTGGGCGATGAATACAAGTGGAAACTGCTGATGTGTCTTCAAATAGAGTTAAAACATCGTTAATGCCTGTTAGGGTCTATCTGTTGTTCTTGTTCTTATTGGCTTGCTTTATTTATTTTTAATGTGTCGTCTTTTTCGGGAGATTGAACAGAGTAAGAATTTCATTGTGTAGTACAACTACCTGTTTTGCTGTGCATATGACAGTAAAACTCTTGAATCTTGAATCTGATCAAATAGTTTTATTGTCAGAAATGCTGATTATTACAGTTAATATTTTATATTAAAATGGGAAACAGAGGGTGTCATTTTTTTTTTTTTTGTAAGTCGTGTCATTCTGAGCTGGTTTTATGAAATAAGAACAACAAACTAGTTAGGAATCGAATAATAGTTAAAGCTGTTAAAACGCAGCGATTATCATCATTAGCCAGTTGTTTAGTGTCATAAACTGCTTTTACAGGTTTGACCAGGAGTCGGGTCGAACTTTTAAGGAAGTGATTAGATTGGGCTGTAAAAACACCAACTGGTCTCATTTTCATTTTCTTTTTTTTTTTTGGTTAGCTCCCATCATGTCCCAGTCCTGTGGAAACGGGGACTTTTCGGTGACTGCTATCGATCTCCGACGTTATCCTCTGGTTACCATGGCGACGTGTATCCGCTCTGCGACGAGGACGGTCTGAATCAAACTGGAAAACGTCCGGCTAGCTCGCTGGTCTTTCTTTGATGCGGGCGCCTGGCTGCTGCTTCTTGTTTTATTTGTTTTCCTGATGCTTTACAAGCAACAGAACAAAAAACATAAAAATCAAACGTTATAGCGAAATTCTGGCAGGTCGGAGCTCGTGAAAGATTCAGACGTGGTTGTTCACAGCTGGCAGAGAGAAAAATCACAGGAATAATAAAGAACTACAATCCAAACCTTTAGTTTGTTTCACAGCGTCTATAAAAATAGTTCATGAGTTTTTCAGGCTTCTTTGTTGTTTGACAGTAAAGATGTATTTGAGTTTTTTTTTGTTTTTTTGACCCCAATAGTTAAAAATGAGAATAAATCTCCGGAGATTGATGCGAAGCACAAAAGTTTAAAACATAAAGCAGTTGAGGAGCTTTTTATAGTCGCCAAACTTTTTCCTAACCCCATTTTTCTGACATTAACAACATGTTGTCAGACCTCAGAGTTGTATTTTTGAACACCTGCGAGCCGACTTTCAGAAAACATATTTTTCGCATGAACTCTTCACATCAGTCAACAAGTCAAATGAAAGTCAGAACGGTGTCGAGCAGACTGCTGGCTACCGAAAACCTCTCCCTGTGTGATGTTTCCACTCGTGTTGTCGTGCAAATGGAAAACTCTGACTGCTCCAGTTGAAGCCTTAAAGTTGGGGAATCATTTTCAATTTGCAAATAATTTGTTTTTGGTTGTAGATTTAAGATCCGTCATACTTCATGTGTTACTTAGTTTTTAAAATATCTGCCTGAAGGGCTGCAAATCAGTCGCTGGAGAAACTTAGAAAGAGATGCCAGAACTGGAGAAGCGTCTGGACTGAGAGGTGAAGAACCAGAAGAGAAGCTCAGCTGCTTTTTACTGAAACTCCCAGAAATATAGACGAACATAAGACGAATAATATCAACGTTTTGTCAGAGTGAGGTGATGATGCCTGACGATGAAACTGGAGGTTCATGAGCGCTGAAAGACGCACAAATACAAACGAGACTTTCTGCAAATGGAACAAAAACTGCTTTTGCTGCTTTACTAACAGCAGGATGTTTGGTTTTTATTTCTGTCTTTTAGGACATCACGCCTGTGACAGGAGTTCCCGAAGAGCACATCAAAACCCGTAAGGTCCACATCTTTGTCCCGACTAAAACCGCCATGCAGTCGGGAGCCAACAGCACCAAGAAGTGGAAGATGGACTTTGACACTAGAGAGCGCTGGGAGAACCCGCTGATGGGCTGGGCCTCAACGTAAGAACCCAACACCTCCATGCTTTCGTTCCTCAGACCCTCAGCACAGGGTTTGTTCCACTGCATCATGTTGGGATGTTTCCCTCTAACTCGGTGCTTTTGTGTGTTTCAGTGCTGATCCTTTGTCCAACATGGTGCTCAGTTTCTCCTCCAAGGAAGATGCGATTGCTTTTGCCGAGAAAAATGGTAAACGATTTTTCAAGCTGTATTCAAAGCAAGTAGAACCAATCACAGTCCATCAGAGTCATCATAGTAATGCCTCAGAACTTTAGCAGAATTCAAACAGAGTTAACGGACAGACGGTTGGACTGACATCAAGTTAAATCTTAGAGGAACAAGTTCAGTAATCGTTCTGTTGGTAGTAATGACAGGAGATAAACGCTGAGCGCTGCTGCTAGCTGGACCACTGGGACTCTTAGAACTAGTGCGGCGGTTGCCAGGTTTGCTGCACCACAGAGAGGTTTGGTCGGTGCAGGAGTAACTAGATCTAATCTGGATCCACTTTGAACCAATCTAACCTGAGCATCACCAGAGCGTCCTGATAGGCAGCTGGACACTTTTATTTTTTAACCAAACGATCATTTCAACAGTCAGTTTTTTGCATAAATGAACATTTACACGATGTAGTGATGTGCTTAAACAGAGGAACTGTTCTTAGGAAACATAAATGAGATTCTTGTAGATAAACTCACCTCTCTGAGCACCTGTGGAATAAACTCTTAACAGAAAGCTGTAGATGAGCTCATTAGGCCGTGGAACAGCGGCCCGGTGGAGCTGAAGCTACATGCAGACGATGTGGTTTCATGTGCAGCAGCAGCAGAGTTCACTCCAACTCGCAGAGCTCAGCCATCTGGGAAAGTTTGTTGAAACTAAGCAAAGGAAACTGCCCTACTCTGTTTATTGCACCATGAAAGCGATTAGAGCCGTTCTGACTACACACAGCCTGTTGATGTCTACAAAACACCTCATTGTGTTTGGACCCGGTCCAAAGTGAACATACGTGGACGCTCTCGCCCCCGTCGCTCACTCTGATGTTTTCCCTCCAGGTTGGAGCTACGACATAACAGAGAAGAGGTCCTCAAAGCCTCGAGTGAAGTCCTACGGAGCCAACTTCTCCTGGGACAAGAGGACCAGGAGGTCCGCTAAGTAAACCAAGAGACACATCTGTTGGTTGGCTTGACCTCCGATTGTCCCAGAACAGACCTGTACCGCTCTCCTCAATAAATGCATAATTATATATATGTCTGAACCAAACATTTGGGTCATTATCGCTTTTATTCCTCAAACATTCACCTCATTACTGACTACCTAATGTAGTCTGCTGGATTAATGAAGTGTTTGTTCTCCGGGTCGAGCCGAGCAACAGCAAAACAAAGGGGAACATATTATTACAATTAGAACCTGTTTAAACACAACGATAAATAGATCTGTGAGTCAAACCCGGTGACATTTTTCCTGCGTGACTGTTTTTTATCCTGCTGCCCAGATTGTTTGGTTGTTTGGTGAGCTGCATACCTGGAATTTAAATAGGAGCTTGGAACGGGATTTATTTATTTTTTAACCGGCTGAGTCATGAGGTTACAATGCCTTTTACGAGCTCCATCCAAAGGTGTTAACCATCGCTAAACTCTCAGCGAGACCTGCAGCGTTAACCTTGTTGTGGGGCTTTTTATCCAGAAGGTTTTAAAGTTAACGAACAATAATCCGCATAAAGCCGGAGCTGCACTGTTAATTAAACTGATGAATATCGTCCTGAAGTTTCAATTTCGTGTTAATTTTCCTAATTGCATAACGTGACACCTTCAGATTGATTGGCCTGTGCACTACGGAGCGAGATTAATGGCTCAGCGTTTAATTCTGAGCCTAAAGGTGGTTCTGTTGACCTGCCAGATCACCATGGTTACTAATGCTGCACAGCTCACCTGCCAAAGAGGAGGTTCTGTTCATATTTAGGGATTTAAATCAGCCGTAAGAAGTTTCACTGGTTCTTTTCCTGACCATATATGTGAGCAATATAGACTCTCAGCTGAAGGAACGCATCGTACTGGATGTGTAAACCTGCTGTACGGTGATAATGCGACTCAACGTGCATTTGCAGCAGCGCAATGCTGTCGTGGGAAACTGCATGCATTCAGTTGGTGATGCATAAATACGTTTGTATGCTTGGTCCTGATTCTACACAGCTGGTATTGCAACTATCCATCCATTATCTATACAGGCAGGTTCACCTGGACAGGTAACCAGTCTATCACAGAGCTACACTTAGAGACAGACAACCAAGCACACTCACATTCACACCTACGGACAATTTACAATCACCAATTAACCTCAGCATGTTTCTGGACTGTGGGAGGAAGCCGGAGAACCCGGAGAGAACCCACGCTGCACGGGGAGAACATGGAGACTCCACGCAGGAAGATCCCGGGTGTCCTCACCGGCAACCTTCTAGCTGTGAGGCGACTGTGCTAACCACTGACCCACCTTGCATTGCAATGAATGTGACACCAATTAGAAAAGTCTAGTTGTATTTATCACAGAGAATATTCGCTTGGATTTCACGTATCCATCACTACATGACAGTGTCAGACCAAAATGCACTCTTTAAATATGAAGCTTAAAGTTTAGGAGCTCTACTGTGCAGCTCTCAGGTTAGAATGAAGTTCCTCTGGATGCCTCCGTAGCTCACCTGGATGAGAAGGAGAAACTAGCAGCTGCACTAAAAGTAAAACAGGCAGTTAACAGTTTTCTACCAGTACTCCTCTCTTGCTTTTTTTTGCCTTAATCTTTTTTATTTTATTTTATATTCCTCTTAACACTTCATTAGAGCAGCCTGATGCTCTTGACTGAAATAAACAGCTCGCTGCTGGTGCAGAAGAAGAAGAGTCAAATGGTTCGTTTAAACACCCGCTTTTATGGGAGCCTGGTGGAGAAAATCTGGTTAGAAAAGAGCTGATAACCACCGTTATGATATCTATTATCTGCCCAGTAAACTACCAGCAAAGGCAAGAAAATAAAAATAAATCCTGGCTCTGTTAAACGTGCTTCACCTACAGCAAAGAGCAAACATCAGATCATGTTCAGTGAGAACTTAGAAGCATTTGTTGTAAAAAAAACTTCAAATTTTCAACACAGATTTTGTAAAAGTCGTCGTTTCACTTTCTGCCACTCAGCTGAAACTAACACAGCTTCTTCTGCTGCTCATCATTATGCCATCATATAAAAACTAATCTCCGTTTTTATCACCGAGTTTCAAACGCTGAAGAAACTAGTTAATGCTCGTAGTGCAGCAGAAGTGGATTAGGCTGCCTTTAATGTGGCCGTGTTTAACATGCAGCACATCCTCGTTTTCATTCTGGGTTTGGAAAAGAAAAAAAAAAAAGCCTTTTAATCTTATTTGCCTAAAAGCAAAATATCTCCAAAAGCCAATAAAGTTAACAATGTTCGTCTTCCTTTTGGGATGACGTTGAATTCTTTGGAAAAGCCATAAATTCTTTGAAATGCCCGGCGAGTCACACTTGGCAGCGCACTTGTTGCCAGCGCTTGTTTACGGTCTTTGTGTTCAGTAAACAGTGGTGTTACTTTGCGCAGAGTCCCAAACTGCGTGACTGCACTGATATTCACACACCAATCATGGGCGCCTAATTGGTATAGACCTTCGTTAATTAACGCACTGCGTTGCAAATCTTTCACAGCCTTGCGCTCGCCATTTATTTTGCTCTGTCACTCGGCACATCAAAAGCGCCGATCTGATATGAGCGTAATGGTCCATCCGAACAGCAGGACATGAATGACAGCATGTGTTGCCTTCCCCCTTTGAAATCCCCTCAGAGAAGCAGCGGGGAAAAACGCTCTTGGCACAACTTTGTACCATAAAAGTTGAAAGCATTCCACCCGTCTTGGCCTATAAGCACAATAAATTGTGTGAAATGAGAATGGCAGCGCGGTGGCATTGTTCGAAATCATCGTTACAACGCAAACATCAGCGACGCTCCGATCCGTCCGGCCACCAACGTGAGCTCAGAGCCGCAGAGTCGGGCCCAACTGGGACCGGCCGCAGGAACACAACTGAATATTTACATTATAGTCATTTTACTTGTTAATGTGTCTGGTTTCTTAGCTACACCTAGAGCAGGGGTGTCAAATCCTGGTCCTCGAGGGCCACAATCCTGCATGGTTTAGATGTTTCCCTCTTCCATCAGCTCATCATCAAGCTCTGCAGAAGCCTGATAACCATCCTGATCATTTGAATCAGGGAAACATCTAAAACATGCAGGATTGCGGCCCTCGAGGACCAGGATTCAACACCCCTGACCTAGAGGCATCACGTCACACTAATAATCTGAATTTTACGTCTCTCCTGTCATCACAGTTAATCGGAGTCGCCTGCCATCATGTCTGGTGCTCAGGACTGAAGACGTACGTTTAGAAAACTCAGTAACGCTGTTCCTGTGGATAATGTGCAGACAGAAGTGTGATCTGTGGATTACACGGAGCTCATGTGCAACAACATAAACCTGCACATGTGAAGGGTTAAAAGACAACAACACAGTTTGCATTTTATCACCTGATGTTCTCATCCTCTCATAAGATAAGACAATCCTTTATTAATCCCACAGTGGAGAAATGTGCAGCGTTACAGCAGCAAAGAGCATTTAAGGAATGATTCATAAATCTAAACCAAGACATACATAATAGTTCTACAAAATATCAGTGGTAGTGCAGTTTTTGGATGATTTGTGCATAAGCAGAAGGTAACGACGTGTATTCTAGTGTTGTTGTTTTTTTGTCTACTTCCCTCTAAGATCGAAGAACAAGTTTCCATAATTCCAGGAAACGAGACACGAACAGAGATTCCTCTGGCAGGTAAACTTTCCAAACGTGTGTCTGCCGTCGACAACAGACTCTCGTTGGAAACACAAGATTAGCAAAAGTTGGAGTTTTTCGTTCACACAGCTGCTCATTTGGAGTAATGGCTTCCACTCGGGGTGTAAAAACCTGTAATGTCAGCAGCGATTCTGAGAAGAGAAAAAACACAACGAGCATCACAAATAAAAGGCCGCTGACCTCCACTGGGTGCTAGATGCTAGCTAATCAACACGTCTAAACAGGATCCAAGCTAATGTACATGTAGTTAATGGACGGCGTGCACAACAGCTCCACCATATCTACACATAGCGCACGTATTGCATATGTGCCGAGTGGATCTGGAGTGCAACAGCTACAGTGAAGCACCTGCTCATTATTACAGTGTTTTATAGTGTTTTCAGTCACTAACAGTGTCATAATGTTTTATTGTTTTATGGGTTAAGTAATAATTGGCCTCACCAGCTGGAAGATACAATAAAAAGCTCTGCAGTGGGTGATGCTGAAACAAACCACAATCTGTGTGACACTTCATTCAATCATGCATTCAGATTTTATAGCGCTGACGGGGAAATGTGGCTTCCAGACGCACAATATCTTTTTGCAAAATTTTTATTTTTTTTCCTTTCCAAAAAAACAAGATGAACCTTTGAGAGGAGGCATAGGGAATTCCTGCAGGAGTTTCATGTCTGCAAATTGTGTTTTTCCCATCTCGAGTTGTTTTTATTTACTGCCATAAAGAGCCTCCTGTTGGTATAAAAAATAAAAAGCCGCCCTGTTGGACAGCGTGCAGGCCGTTATTGAGCCCAGCGTCCTGTTTCAGCTCAGCAGCTGGACAGAAGACCTGGTGTGAAAGTTTTCATTTGAACGTTTGCCAGGACTTGATTTGTTAATGGAGCTTCTCTAAATAACACGCACACCTTCGCTCACGCAAGCCGCTCTCTGGCCCACGGTGACCTAATGATCGCTGCTGTCTGTGGCCGGCCTGCACCGTGAACTCCGCAACCCAGCCGATGAGGCACGCAAACCCGGCTCTCGTCTGCAGCCAGCGACCAGCTCGGCTGTGTTGTGTTGTGTGTGTGTGTGTGTGTGTGTGTTAGTGTGTGTTAGTGTGTGTGTGTGTGTGTATGTGTGTGTTTCAGCACGCTGTGTGGACCCGGGCTTGTTTTGAAGGGCACGGATCACAGATTGATGACGACTCCCGGTTATCCAAACAACAGCTCGTAGCGAGTAAAAGAACCTGTTTACCCCAAAGTGTGCTGTTTATTATGCTTGCATCATTTATTATCTTCCTCGCTAATGTACTAATTACCCCGCTGCAAACGGAGACAACAAGAACAGCTTCTTCTGTGTGCGTTTTTA